ACCTAAACATGCATAATCACGAAATCCCTCCCCCACACTTCAAACAAAGCAATGTCATCATTGCTTGACCAAAAAGTATAGGCGAAAGCACATAATCACGTACGTTCATGCGATAAAAATAAAAAACGAGAGACAAAAATAAACAAACAAGACAAAAACACATAAAGACACACAAGAAGCAAATAAAGAACGAGAAAATAGGAAAAGAAAATGCGTACTCGACACGGTGGTCGTCACCACCGTGTGTCCAATAATGGTCATCCGGAGGGAATAGAGAGGTCAACCGAAAACAATAGAGCGTGAATATGAGTCATCCAAATGATTTAGGGCTTGATTGTTTATGAAATAATTTGTTCAAAATGAGTTATTTTGGTTAACCATAGTTAATTTGAAAAAGGTGGTATGGTTAGTTGTTAGTGGAATTTTAAGAATGTATTAAAATAATATTTAAAATAAAATGATTAAAATTGATTTGATGTAAAAGTAAGAGATAAATGATTGGAAATGATTGGAAATGATAGGTAGTTAAAATTATGTGAGTGGATGAATAGTGAATTAAAGTTGATGTGATGTGTAAGAATGATTGGTTTGTAATATTTAATTATATGAATAATTTTAAAGATAGTGGGATTGAGTTAAAGTTGAGTTAAATTTTGAGTTGAAATAAAAGTGAGTAAATTAACTCATAAACAATCAAGCCCTTAGCATTTGAGCACACGAATCGAGAGAGGCCATGTGTGTGTCCCGGAGAGATAGTAACTATGAATGCATAAACTCGACGTGGACACACGTTCACGTGAAAGCGCAAAATCGGGCCTCGAAGTCCTTGTCTATTTCCACATGGTCCAACACAACGAACTCCGTATGTATGCAACGCATAAGCGATTACCGGCGCTTGCCGTGAGTAGGTACCTACAACTCAAATTACCGGCAAAAACACACGTATATGTGGCACGCCCGGCAAGACGTGCCTAAACACACAAGTCTAACCCAAAAATCTCAATACGACTACTCCGGCAAGAGTAGTGATCCAAGCACAACACATATAATGGAGGAACGGAAATACAAATCAAAATCGAGACGTTGAACTTTGGAAAATTGTCGAGGGGAACGGTCGCCGGAGTTCGAAAATAGAGAAGTATAGAAAAATAGGAGATCCGGTCGC